GTAAGCTCTGATCAGGGAGACTGCGAGCACAATTACCTTCTTTTCAAATCCTTCTGTGACACTGCGGGAGGAAAAAGGACTTTGAAACTTGAAAGGAAAGAGCTTGCTTTCAACCTCAAAAGCTAGGAGGAAAGGGCTCTGAAATTTGCTCAGAATTCCCAATTCACCATTAGCCTGTTTCTTCCTTTAGCCTCAAGGCATTCTCCGCTTTTTGAAAAGATGTTAAGAAATTCAGTCACAATAGAGAGCCTAGTTTTGAACATGTTTCACTCGGTCCATTGAGGTCTGGGCTCCAGCCTTTGTGTGGGGTGAATTGAGCTGAGCGGCTAGCTGGTTGGAGACAGGTGAATGAGGAGTCGCTGTGCAGTCGCAAATTCTGGCAAAGAAAGAAGCACCCCCCACCCCCCACCCCCCCACCCCCCCCACCCCGGCCTTTATTTTGCAATATGCATTCCTGTACAGCCCTGCTAGTGGCAATATGTGCAGCCGAGCTTGTGCTTAAGTCAATACGGAGTACTTGGTTTATAGCAAGTCTTGTTAAGTTTCTCTTGTAATTGAAGCTGCTGTTGACCTTGCTTGGGGACCATTTGTAAAACCGTTTATTTAGCATAAACTGAAATAATAAACCCTCCTTCGCTGGGGCTGATTGTGATAGGGTGACATTAGTTTGATTTAATGATTAGCCGCCTGACCCTTCTGCTGGAGAGAGCGGCTTGAATAGAGAGTTCACTCGGAAGCACTCCGAAAGAATACTAATGAGCTTGTTAAATTTAGCATGGCTCCAACCACTTTTAATTCCTCTAATGGGAGCAGCACCGCCTGGGAGAGGGAGAAGGGAGGCAGGGAGACACCGAGAACGTTCCTAGAGGGGTCTGCACGCCAGAGAAAGCCCACCGGGAGAAGTTTGCAGAAAGTAGCTAGCCAGAGCCTGGGGTCCGAGTTGTAAGTATTGCCCGTTGTCTTTGACTCTGTGTGTCCTCTGTCTTGGGGGGAAGAGAGAGGAGCACCCGGGTTAAAACAGGATCTAAGGGAACGGTTCAAAAATCAATGCTAATTTGTGGGTGACTGGGTGACGGGCACTGAGGGGAGGGGCACTTGATGGGATGAGCACGGGGTGATACGCTCTATGCTGGCGAATCGAACTCCAATAAAAATAAATAAACTAAAATAGTAAAAAAAAAAATCGATGCTAATTTTATTTATTTATTTATTTATTTTTTTTAAAAGGTGGCCACGTGCACGTACCGTGAGCTCCCGATCAGCTAATTTTGCCAGGGTGACAGGAGGTGTTCCTAGTTGGTGACGCGGTACAGGGTTTTGTCTTTAGACTGGAAGACTTGTCTGAAACTTTCACCCGGGGTCCAGGCGGGAAAGAAAAAAAAATTAAAAAAAAAATAAACACTTGCTTCCTGGCTGGCAGGGAAAGAGGGTGCAGGAGGCTGTGAGTCGGGGCCCAGGAGTGTGTGTTCGAGTCCCGCTTCCCGAGCGCCCTGCCCTTAAGCCTTTGTCCCGTGCCGCTGAGCCACCTCCGAGTTTTCCGAGATCGTGGCCCGCAGACCCCACGTCGGTTGCCTCCGGAAGAGTTTGGAGAATCTGGGACCTGTTGGCAAAACGTGGTGATGCTTGGGCAGCTTCTCCCTCTGGGGGCAGGAGTTTGTTCACTTGCCCTCCAGCCCGGCTGTGCACAGGGGCGGAGGTACAAAGGGGGATTGTGAGGACAGGGCTTCAAATCATTTTTTCCTGTGACTTTTTGGAGTGAGTGGCACGTTTCCGTGTGACTCCCGAGTTAGCAGCTGTTTAACGTAGAGAAGCACGAACGGTCCCCTTGTGTCTGGCCGTGAAAGTCCATTGGCAGATGCTCCTGGAGCAGTGGGCTGTTTGCTTACATTTTTGCAGCCGACTGCTTGCTGCCTGTTGCCATGGTGGACAGTATGTTTCTGTCAATAATTTGGCCTGGCGTTGCCTGTCTGCACCGACTCTCAAACTTTATTGAACAACTCGGCACAACTGAACAAGATTAGACAGCTTTCGTCTTTTGGCTTACTGAAGTGGTTGCTAAATTTATAAGAGCAGGCAGGAATATTGCTTGGAAAGTTTCCTTTTCACTGTGCAGAGCGTGCTCTCCAGCCTCAGAGCCGTTTGTATTCCGGAGCGTGTGTACTGTCAAGTTGTGATCCGAGTGCCCGTCCCCAGCAACTGAGTACCCCGGGTAGTCTTCACGACGTATTTGTCGGCTGGGATGCTACTGGAGAGGACGGAGGGCAGGTAACAGGGAGTGGGCATGGACGGTTATAGGTCTGATGGAAGTTGCCACCCTCAAAAAATAACTCCTCGCCTGCCGTTAGTCAAGTTTTTCTGGTTAAGTCAGAAAACTCTAAACTGCGTTTCTTTCTCATTATAACTTTCATATCCGCACGTGTTAGGTTCAACTCTCATTAAGAAAATAATAAAACTGGAGTACTTGTGAAAAAAATCACTTAGCTGAAGACACCCCATTTGCATCACCCCCACCCCCACCCCCACCGCCCACTCCCCCGCTCCACCAATTCCCTCCTTCTTCCCAGGAGGCTGGATAGGGGGGACGTGGGAGGACTCTGGCCAGGCCGTGCCAATTATTCAATTATTTGTGAAGTCGGGTTCAACTGCTCATCATAAAGGCTTGGCTTCGAAGAAACTCACTCTATTATAGGGATGCAGTTTTAAGGGAAGAAAAGTTAATTTCTTCTAGGAAGATTAAGTCAAGGGAATCCTGCTTTCAACCTGGAACAGATTAGTGGAGCTTGGTTATTCATCTTAACCAGAGAATGCTAATTATGTGTCGCCGGGGCTCCTGGTGAGGGCTCTCTGGCTTTCCACACGAAGGAAGGTCCATTCTACAGAATTTGCAGGCCAGGGCCACAGGTTCACTTCAGGTTGAAATTTGGAATAAAGATTTTATACAGGCGCAAATGAGTGGAAAATGTGACTTTGGCCATTGGTAGGTTATAGGAATTTTTATAAAACCGCCTAAGAGTTTTAATGTTTTTGACACCCTTTTGCTTTTATGCAGGCCCTTATTCTATAGCCTGCAACTTTACTGCTAATGAAGTATGAGGGTGCAATGGAGCCTCAAAGTATTAGTCAGAAGGGAAAATTAAAATGTAGGGTTTTCTTTCTTTTCTTTTCTTTTTCTTTCTTTTCTTCTTATTTTCTTTTCTTTTCTTGGTAGTTTGTTCTTAAATTAGCAAAAGCATGGTTTGAATTGCTTCTGTAAAGATCGATGTGTGAAAATGTGGGATTACACCGAGACTTTTTTTTTTCTTCTTAGTAGTTACTTGATAGATTAAACTCCTAATGTATCCCATAATTATAGGATTTGGCGGTGAAGATCTGCACAAAACAATGCTAAAATAAGGTTTCACAGTTACCCTGCAGTAGTCAGCAAATTCACTGTAAAGACCAAAGCATACCTCATTGTCTATTCTGTTTTGCAAGTCACTTGCCAGACTGAAAAACAAAGCAAAACAAAACATTGCTTATTTCTTCAAATCCCAGACACAGGCAGAGCGATCAAAATTGCTCCTGGCTTCGGGTGGTTCGAGTCATTAGTCATCACAAAACAGTAGTCGTGACTATAGTTTATATTTTCACGCTTGCCCATGTTTATAGCTATACTTTCTTCTGAATTTGTACAAACAGCCATGAAACTGCTAAAGCATACTTTTCCTGTTTTTTAAGGGCTCTCAGCCAGATCTAACTACTTTATGAAATATGCTTTGAAGATACGTCTATATGTCGGGATAAGATGTGTTCAGAATCTGTCCATCCAAAACGTGCAACACTGTTATTACTTACCTATTATGTCTATTTAAGACGAAGAATGGGACTTCCTTCTCAAATTAGAGGTCTGAGCCATGCCCGAACAGCTTTTTTTTTCCAGCAGTACTTGCCTTCCAGAACGCAGTCTGCAGATGCAGTGCAGAGCTTGTTTGGGGGTACGTAGTGTAGAGTGTGTGTCTGGCTCTAACAGATGAATTGGCCCATTTGTTGTGAGTTCTGATCACTCGTGCGATTTAATTTTATGCATGGCTTCTTTGATCTGCTATTCTAGAAAGGTCATCCAATCACATTTGCAGAGAGCCCTAATGGGTAGATGGGAAGTTCCTACAGATCAAAGGGAACGGAAGTATTAGGAAGCTGGAATATTGAATGTATGTGGAATTTGGTCAAGCTGTTTCCTTAGTGTGTGAAGAAGCGTCTGGACCCCAGCAGAACGTGTGCCTGGGTCCGCATCAGGGACGCCTTCCTCGCCCACAGAGCCATCCTGCCCTGGCAACCAGGCCTAGTCCATTTTGTTCTGGGATCTCAGCTGTGTGCTAGGGGCCGCAGAAAGGAGTGTCCTGCAAAGGGCCCTGTAGGTTTCCGTGATGGGCACCTTTACCCCTTGTAATTAGTGGGCCTTTAGTCCCATTTCTAGCTCCGTGTAAACCAGTGGGTTACAGATCTGACTTCAAAACAAAACAGGAAAACTTCTGGATCACTTTAGGTCCTTTGGCCCACAGATCACCCAGAGGCTCAGTGGGTGTCCGAGCGGCCCGATTCCTGAGCGGCGGCCCAGCTTCCTCAGACAGACAGGGGAAAGCTGGACATCCACGGGCTCAGGCTGGCAAAACTGCCAGCCCCGCTTGGGACCTGCAGGGCTATTGGCAAGTCCCTAATGGAAAGCCTCACTGGCAGATTCACTTGTAAGCTGGCGATGATAATTCGCTGACCCCCTACATCTCAACTTAATAGGCTCATTTCCTGCTCCCCTTCGTCCTTCGATTTGTATTTGGAAGCCTCATTCATGAGCAGTTTTGTCTGGAGACTGTCCCATCATGGTGTAGCTTTCAAAGTTGCCAAGACTGAGCAATAGGCTTCCTTTTGGGGAGGAGGGACAGAGCAGGAGACCTAATTGATTACTGGGTTTGAATTGCTCCTTCAAGTGGCTCACAGAGCTTTCATTTTCCTTCTCCCTCCAGAGGATGAAAGTCCTGGACAGACCTATCACAGAGAGAGAAGAAACGCAGTCACTATGCAGCCACAGAGCGTCCAGGGGCTCGGCAAGATCAGCGAGGAGCCTTCGACGTCTAGCGAGGAGAGGGCCTCGCTGATCAAGAAGGAGATCCATGGGTCCCTGCCGCACCTGGCCGAGCCCTCGGTGCCGTACCGTGGGGCCGTGTTTGCCATGGACCCCCGGAACGGTTACATGGAGCCCCACTACCGTAAGTGGCCCCTGCCCGGCGGCCCCCGTCCTGGGAGCTGTGCAAGGCTGGGTGCACGCGTGCTCTACCGGTGACGGGGGCTGGTGTTAATTTATGTCAGTGTTTAATTTACTGTCCGGTTTATTTTGTTTTGTTTTGTTTTGTTTCCCTTCTCCTACATCCTGTCCAGTCCTCTTTTTAAGAGAGAGAGAGCCATTTTCTTGCATCTCTAAGCAACTCCAAGCCTCCGTGGGGCAGCCCCCGGGAAGGTGTCCATCTGTGGCTAATCCACATGGACCTGGGCTGGGAACGAGAACCAGATTTCTTCCACCCAAGTAGACACTGCAGGACGAAAATTGGTTGATGGAGGGTAGTTATTAAAGTGGGCTGCACTGGCCAAAGTCCTGAGCAACAGCCATCCTCATTTTTGAGGATTTTTTTTTTTTTTTTGCTTCCTGGTGGAAGACGAACGAACGAACCCCTCTTGAGCAAATCAAGGCTGAGGTCCTTAATGTGGAAGATTTCTCTACGTGTTTTACTTTCCTCTCTCACCAGCATGCCAGGAACACGGGAAGTTCCTTTTCCAGCGCTAATAAAGTTTAAGTAATTCACTAGGACTCAGAACACAAATGCACGATGGCTTTCGCCGAAGAAAAATGGTATAAGGGTTGACTTTATTTGTGGCCTGTTTCTAGTTTAAAATATATATATATATATATATATATATATATATATATATATATATATAATTTGGTTGTGGAGTAATAAAGTTCATATTGAGGTGCCAGAGCTTACAGCTCTTGATTACAGATTTATCACCTTGCCAGGATACAGACTTGCCATTTAACCTTCCCGGCTCCAATTCCAGATGATCCATTGAGCTCCAGAGAGGGGGGACTGGTTTGCGTTTCCCCTTTTCCACATCATTCAGAAATTTTAGTGTTTTTAAGGCAAAAGGTCATTAGCCAGATGACTGATTAGCAAGGACAGCTGATTAGTGCTTTTTTTTTCTCAAGAAAGTGCCCAGGATAAAAGCTAATTTCATCCCTTCGTTAGCTAGCTTGCAGCAGAGGGGAATGTTCCCTCATCAGGGTGCAGATCAAAGAGCCTGGAGCAGCCTTACGTCTCAGCAACGGCTCCCCCCCACACCCCCCACCCCCGACCGGATTACATTGTTGGTAAAGATGGAGGGGACATTATTTTTTTAAGTGGTCAGAAGCATGGAGGAAAAGGTTTTATGGAGTCTTCTAGGCTTTTAAAAAAGCCTACAACTTCTCTGATTAGAGAGCACTTCTCAGCCCAGTTGCTGCAGTGGTGTTTTACAGATCCAGGAATGAGGAGGAGGAGGAGGTTCGGGGGCGGGGGGACTCACTTCTTTCTCTTCCTTCATTAAAGTTTATTTCATTTTCTTTTAGGGACAAGAGTTTACAGTCGTGTTGGCAGGATTTTTCTCTGAGCACATTGTTTTCCGCGTGGTGTCTTTTATTTGCGGGTCTCTATTAGATGCCATCCGTGCAGAGACAGTGAGCGGATCTGCAAACCTCCTACCTACAGCGCTACTCCCTGAGTATATTTACGTTGTAAAAAGAATCCAGTTTCATTTATTAGCCGCAAGTTCCCTGCATTGTTTTGGTCCTGATGTGTGAACACAAACGTTTCCCATCTCGTACTTAGGTTTTGGGTTCTGTTCCAGATGCCCACTAATTAGTGAGGCACTTAATTGGGCAGGACAGCTGACGGATACTAATTTTTGGGTTGATGGAAGTGGGCAGATGACCGTTAACTTTCTCCCTGAGCCATTCAGCTTGCAGCTTGCTCTGGGTCCGTGTGTTCTAACGGTTTGCCCGTTGTCTCCTAGCCCCTTCGTTTGAGGAACGGGCGCTTGGCACACCTGGGATCCCCGACGCCTCTTGGTGGCGTGCGTTTGCGACCCAGCCCTTGGGCCTCCAGTGGAATATTCCCTAGCTTGGGGCACTGGAGAGCTTTTACTGAGGCTGCGAACTGTTCTAGTTAGAGGACAGAGATCAATAGGTTGGATGCTCCTTAGCTTTCCCCACTGTATTGTCCCAAGTTGCTGTTAAAATTGCATGATCACTGACAAACTACGTACGTTTCCTATAACCAACTGGCAGATGCCATTTTGACCCGGGATCCCAGTGTACCCCCTAAATTGGTCATAAGTCAATGGTATTATTACATATATAACACGGATGGGGGAGTTCTAGAGATGACACAGATTGGATAACGCGCAGAGGATTTGGGCTCAAGGTCCAGCTTTGCCAGGTAGCGGCCCTGCAGCATGGCCAAGTGTGCTGACCCCTCTAGGAATCATTTCCTAACCATATGTTTGGTGTTGTAATGTGACTGCTGCTCCATGGTGTTTTTCTGAGAATCAAGGGAGACAATGCAAATATAGTATTTAATAGAATCTCTGGCTCAGGGTGAGTTCTTCCGATTATTATGGCAATTGTTTTCCTATGCCTCTACTTCCTCCTGTTCCTTCCTTTCCATCAATGCGGTCATCACTACCACCATCACACCACCATCACCACCACTACCATCATTACCACCACCAGCATCACCACGGCCACCACCACCATCACCATCACCACCAACACTATCACCATCATCACTACCAATAGCACCACCACCATCAGCACCATTCCCTGCCACCAACACCATCATCACCACCATTGCCACCACCCCTACCATTAGCACTCACCATCATCACTGCCATCAGCACCAGCAACACCATTACCACCAGCACTATCACCACCATCAACACGACCAATAGCACTACCACCATCAGCACTTACCATGGTCACCACCATCAGTACCACCATCACCATGGTCGACACCACCACTACCATCACCACCTCTACTTGTATGTGATGAGTCCACTATCCAAACCAAGTTGTTTTTGTTAGTGCTACGGTCGTGTGTGCTGCTCTGCCTCCCTGAGATCTGTGTCTTCTATAAACCGATTAGAGATCGAGTGGACTGTAAATCTTAGGAAAAGTGTTGGTGTGGTCAGCACTGTGTACGGTGGCCTTCTGAGCGTGACCTTTCTCCCTGAACCTTAATGAATTGACTGTAATTTTTTTTCCAATTTTGTAAGTGAAGAAATATTAAAGCTTTTAAATGACTTTGAGAAGTTTTGACCTTTTAAACTCTTGGCAGAAAGTGTTTTATGTACCAAAAACAAGCTCAATACCTGTGGAAAAATGAAAGCTACAGAATTATTCATGTGAAATATTTTAAAGATCCTGAACTAAGCCTCAGGGAGTTAGATAGGCTGTAACTCTACTTTTTCTCCAACGCTATTGGATTACCCAGTCTTCCACCAGTATAATGAGTATTTGGGGGGACTTTATAATAAAATCTGTCTACCTTATCTAGATTTCAGTATGCAGATCAAGCTAATGAATGACCAATGCAATGCTGAAGTCGCTAGGTCCTCCATGAATTTTTAGTGTAGGAGAAAAGTGCTATCTTTTTCATACGAGGCCTGAAAGTTCGATCACGTTTCTTCGCTTGTCAGTCCTGTAGCGACTGTCCACACACAAGTTCAGTGCAGACCTTCGCCGGCTCAAGGTTCAGAAACGTGAAGGGTTGTACGGTTGTGAGTCTTTGCCAGCTCCACCAGGTTGTTGGAGAGAAGAGACTCCCCCAATCCGGTGTGGCTGGGCATGGGGACACTCCCAGGAATTCCTTCATTGCTCTGTGGTTGGAAAATGTGGGCTTTCCAAGATGCCTAATTTGTGCTTCTATATATACTGACTTTGTATTTCTAACGTGTGGGCAGGCTTCCTGTAAGACCGGAAAAGGGAAAATCATTTCTTTACCCTCAGAAGGACATCTGTACAATTTTTATTGCGCAAGACTCGATTATCCTTGGGTATGCAGTGGTGCGTCTTCACAAACGGCACTTAGGCTGGATGCAAAGTATTTTAGGTTTTGTGGGTTTGACTTTAAAAAAAAAAAAAAAAGGAAAGAAAAAAGAAATACCAGCGCTAGCGGGCACTTCAAACATTCACGACATATGTTTGGAATAAAATCCTCACGGGGGGCACTGGAGGGCATTCTCTCCTGAAGGGTAGCTGTGAAGGACTTGTATATCAAGGCAAGAAAGTAGATGCTGAAGCCGCATGGCCCGGACGTGGGGTGATGCTGACAGGGGTGCTGCTGCAGGATCACGAGCGCTTTATAACTGGGGAGAGAGTGGGAGGGGGGGCTGGGGTTCCGGGACCTGAGCTGCTTGTACTGGAGTCAGGATGGGAGGCCCATCTCCTGCCTAAAGCCCTCTCTGCACTTTTACTCTCCAGGGGCTCCCTCCGTGGCCAGGTATTTCAAACTACCAGCACCCCCCTGCTTTCACTTACTGCCACGCATTTGTTCTCTTAGGAACTTGTGAAGGCAGGTGACATAATAGTTAAAGCATTCCTGTACCCTGGCCGACACTTAACTTTTATTCTCTTCTCTTTACGGAAAACATGTGTTTCATTGTCTTCTGTCTTCCTGTGAGGAGTCTCGTTTTCTGACTGTGCCTGCAGGAGTCTTTGCGGGGAGCTTCTCAGATTCACTAGTCCTGCCACACAGGGCCCCTGCTGGTTCTGGTATAAGGAGTGGAAGGACGTCCCCTTTTCTAAAATTTCAGGTCTCTTTTACAGTTTTACGGTTGTGAAGATGCTTTTCTTCTGCCCCCAACTGCTCTCAAGCAGTAGTAATCCCTCATGGAAAATATGATTCATTCCTTCATGCAAATGCTTTGATTGAAAACATACCACTGGTATCCTGCCTTATGTTTCCCAGCTCAGATGACAGAACTATTAGTGGCTAATTAGCAAAACCTGAGGAATTAGCTTAAAGAAAAGAAACTGAATTTTTAATTGCTTGCATTTATTTTCTGTGGAAAGCTGATGTGCTGAGCCCCCTTGGATTCTTGTGTGCTAAAAAAAAAAAAAAGAAAAAAAAAAAAGAAAAAGATAAAGTAAGATTTGTTTGTTTTTTTTTTTCCTACC